CCACACACACATTCACACACTCACGTGCTTTCCCTCTATAACCAGCAGTGGCTTCTTGCTTCCATCAGTGGCTCGACTTTCCCAGAAGAAAGCCCATCAGCTCTGCAGGGAAAGAAGTGGGGAGGAGTGGAGCTAGAGGAAAGAGAGAATAGATGGGGACAGGGGAGGGGGGAGGAAAAAAGGAATCTGGAACAGGTAGAAGGAGCGACTAAAGGAGGAAAACAAACACTGAGAACCAAGGTGACTAGAGATTCTGAAGAAAGGAGGGAAAAGAAGGGACTGGAGACCCTGAGGCATGCCTCACCACCCACCCACCCACACACAATTCTCCAGGGCCTCCCCAGCAGCCCCTCTGGGGTCCCTTGCTTCCTCTCTCCCTTCTCCATCTCCCCTTCATTTTCCCAGCCTGGTTACAGAGAGCAGTGCGGTGGGGAGGGGGTCACGTTACCTTCTCGAGGAGGATGAATCAGAGTGAGATGGCTCAGACATCTGGAGAGGGGGAGGGGAAGCCATCGGAGAGAGAAGGAATGGGGGGAGAGAGGGAGCCTAAGGGGGCTGACTGAAAGGCTGATGGGGATTTAGAGACCAAGTGCAAGATGGGGAGAGACAGGCACCACCTAGAGAAACTGTATTTGCCTGTGGGCATGTGTGTGGGCGCGTGCGCGTGCACGCACCTGTGCATGTGTGTTTTTGTGTGTACAGAGATTGATGTGCTACATCCAGAGAAAGAAAGAGTTGGAGAGAGGATCAATTGTATATTTAATCAGAGTGAGAGTGGATAGGCATGGTAGTATTTCCAATCTAAATATGTGATCTTCTCTTCCAATCTGTGCGTCTGTGTTTTGCTTGTTTCCAGGTGTCTGTGTGTGTTGGTTCTGATCTCTTCTGAATGCCTGTATACCTTATGCAGCTTTGAGTCTTTGAGTGCACCTAGTTCTGGACATCTGCTGGTGTCTGATACATGTGTCTAGTTTGGTGGTACACAATCGTGTGTGTGTACAAGGGTGTCTTTGTGCATTTCTCTGGGTCTTCCCATGCCTACTGGAAATGTGGCTACATATGTGGACTTCCCTTTGCTTGATCTTTTTTGCCCCTCCCCCCATTCACCTTCGTTTCTAGATCTCTGTTCCACAAAGTCTCAGAATCTAAGCCATTCATCTGCAGCTGTGAAGTTCTGGGTCCTTGCCCCTGTTTTCAGAGTATTCCCCATTCCTCCATTTTCTCCCAACTTTCCATCCCTCCTTCCCTCCACTTGAGCTCAGAAACCCTGGGGGAGATTCTCAGAAATTGAAATACTAGGAGCCTCAGTCATCCTATGGTTGGGTGGGGGTAGGTGGAAACCTGGAGCACCAAAAGCAATAAGCTTAGGGATTCCACAGTCTGGGTCTTGACACCCCCACCCACAACTCCCACAGTCTTTTTCTACCTCTCTCCATCCCGGTCTCCTACCTGGGACAGGGCACACACACACCCCTAATAGAGATAAACTTCTCCTTCATGCTCTGCTGCCTGTAGGGGCTTCTGGAAAAGAGCTGGACTGGGGACAAATTCTTTGGATGGGGAGAGGAAGGAGCTGGCAGAGAGAAAGAAAATGGAGAGAGAGAGAGATAACTGGAAAAGGCAGAGCTGAGATGGGGACCTGGAAATGTCTGGCATTTGCTCTGAGTTGTTTGTAAGAATCCATCTCTCTTTGTCTTTGTTTCTGATTCATCGAAGAGGGTAGCAGGAGAAATTGGGGTCCAACAGAGTAATGATCCAGGCTGAGGATCAGAAAAGCCAGAGAAGGGGGTAGAGCACTGGGTCTTTTCCCTAAGAAGGTCTGGGAGAGAAAGAGGGGGCAGGGGCTTGGGGTCCCCGAAGCTCACCGTTCTCCTCTTCTTCCCCATCCCCCCAACTAGTGACTCACCTCTGCAGCCTTTCGTTGCGTCAGCCATGGAGGGGGGACAGGCAGGGAGGGGGCAATTTGTGATACGGGTAGGGGTCTCAACTTTGAATTGAAGGAAGGTGCTGAAGGCCCCCTGAAAATGCACCCATTTAGAACACATTGCCCTACCCCCTACCCACTCCAAGCGTTCGGAGTCCTGGGACAGGTATCTTGGAAAGGGCTGGGGGCCAATGGAGGGTCCAGAATGACTGAGTGATAGGGAGGGGGTGCTCACTCTGATTTTTAGTCCAGGGTCCCATTCCCTCAGACCCTCACCCACTCCTGAATGGGGGAGGGGAAACACAGCAAGCCGGGGGAGGGCGACGCTGCAGAGATGAGTCACCAAGAAAGGGAGAGAGAGAGAGCAAGAGATACATAGAGACAGAGATGGGGAGAGACACAAAGAGAGCCAACCACTGGAGAGACTGAGAAACACATATACATATGCTCGCGGGCACACGCGTGTGTGTGCACACACACACAAACACACATACACCATGAAGGTGATATCCAAAAACTACTAAGAGAAAGGAAATAATGCACTTCCATAATCCTAAACCAGCCCCTCCAACATCCACTTGTCACGCATAGCATATACTATCATATAGTTACGCTGAGATTCTGAGACACACCCACTTACACAAACACAATGTCACATCTAGTCTAGCAGTCACCCAGATCTAAGCTAAAGATCTGTCCAGGACAGATTTACGTTGAAAGTCCTTATTTCTTTTAGGGGTGGTGGGAAGGAGTAAAAACACTCAGACTTAACCCTTTGACTTTAGAAATTCAAAACGTCGTTTCAGGGTCTCACAGGCTGCACTGTGCACACGCAACAATACACACAAGTCACCTGCCTCACCATCCACACGTACATAGTAGCATCAAGCATCATACCCGTCAAAAAGCCACTTGGGGTACCTCTTTATGGGGTACACCAGGCACGTTGTCTCACATATATCCCTTCCAGACACCCCCTGACTCGTACACACATGTATAGAGACGCAGACACACAAAGACGCCCATGGACACACTCACACGGACGAAAACCACCTTGCGCTGCCTCGCCCGCGTTCGCGCACGTCCTGGCGCCCCCGCGTGTTACTTTTCGGGATCGCAGTCTCCGCCGATCTAGAGCTTGGCTCCCGGGGGGCGGTGCCCAGGCTCCCTCCACCTCCTGCTCCCACCACGCGTTGCCCACCCCAAAATCGGGAGACCGAGGGCGGCTGCCCACGGGTGAGTCAAGAGCTGAGAATTTGATGCCTGGATCCTGGGGCTGAAAGAAGCTGGAATGCCGAGAGGAACTTGGGAGAAGAACCCGCAGAATGTGGTTTGCAAGTCCAGGAGAAAGCGAGGGCCCAGGCTAGTTGGGGCTCTGCGCCGCTGCCTCGGTTCTGAGCAGCCGCTTCTTCCCTTGTTCCGCAGGGGTGGGGGTGGGGGCGCACAACGTCCATCAGCCCTCCCTCGAAACCCCCCCCCCCAGGAAGTCATTAGCCCCATTGCCACTGGGCTTAGAGATCCTCTCTAATACAGGCTGCTGGGGAAAGGGGGAAGATTATGTGTGCCATCCCTCCCCACTGAGAGAAGTGAAACGGACACAGAGGGTAGGCAAAAGGTCCATTTTATTGCCTTACAGCAAACGTAGAAATGGCAAGGAAAGTGGCAGTATGGCAGGTGCAGGAGGCAGCCAAGACAGAGCAGCACAGCAGAAAAACCACAGCTGGGGGAAGCGGTCAAGAATTAGCTGTCCCCTTTGCCCACCTTCTACATCCTGGGATCGCCTCTAACCACAACTTGGATTGCATCCTCAGGGAACCCTGTGCTCACTGTCAACATTTTTCCTAGCAACTGTTCCTGGTCTAAGGAGAAGTTCAAGCTAACACCATCACACCACAGAGTGAGGTTCTGGGGCACGCCCTGCGCTTGGGCCACCAGGGTGATTCCCAGTGTCTGTGAGTGACTTAGAAGTCACTTTGATCTTTCTGAGCCTGTGTTTCCTCCCTCTGTCTTTGATGCGAGGATCTGGTATTGGAGACAACGTTGTGCAAATACAGCTGTTACTACTTAAATAGAAGACTCTCCAAGTCTAAAAAGCATAAATGATCCAGAAGGGAGCAGTGTTGGAAATACTGGGCGGTGGAGTTCCAGAGCACTAGAAGGCAGCCAGGTTGGAACCAGGAGACAACCCCCATGCCAGGTGAAGGACTTGCCCTCCAATGCACCAAACTCTCCAGCCAGAGAGTCCCCTGGTGAGTTGGGGGTGCGGGAGAGGAGCCCTGTGAAATAGCAACGACAAGCAAAGTTGGAAAGCCCAGTCAGAGGGGCAGGCTCAGGAAAAGTGCCTCACCAAGGTAAACAGGGAGCCAAATGCGGGAGCATTACAAATATATTTCCTTTACAGGGTCTCTCTCCACATTGCAACCCGGGTCGGTGAACAAGAGGTCACGGTGAAGAGGGGCGCAGGGGCAGGAAAATGGGCACTGAGAAGCTAAGAGTCAGGGAAGTCCAGGGAGGAGGAAGTTAGGGAGACAAAGAGAAGCGGGGAAAGGACACTGATCTGTAGGCCCCAGAGGCTGACGAGGCATGAGAGGAGCGCAGGGCCAGCCCCGAGGGCTTTAGAAAAGGCAGGAGAAAGGAAAGAAACATTCATCTGGCTACCGAGCGCCGGGCCGCTTCTGGACTTCGCAGGCACTTCCGCTCTTTTCCACCCACGAGGGGGCAGAAGGGAGAAGCCAGAAAGGGTGGAGTTCACTCTCAGCCCGGGGCGCCCAAAGGGTAGGATTTGGAAGCCTGTCTAGGGACCAGTTCTTTGTAAGGGGAAAGGGTGCATAACGGCAGCCCAGCGGGCTCCCCAAATCCAGCGTTTTAGGTCTGAGCCTTTGGGGACATCGGAGGCAACAAGGCAGACAGAAGTAGAAAAGGCAAGACCGGGGGTCTGCATCGGTAAGAGTGGGAATCAGAGCCGACTTCCGGGGGATGGAGTTTCGAAAGTGTAGGGGCGAGGCTGGCTGGGTGGAGGATCAGAGCCAGGGGGCGAGTCTGAAGTCCGTTCCTCCCCCCATGAGAGGCTCAGATGTCAGGCCTCCAGCAGGTACTGTTCAGTGTAACCCTTGACTAGCTCAAGTCCCAAGCCAACTTGACAGAAGTCAGCCACCTGTGACCGCAGCTGGAGTACCAGGAAGAGCTGGTACATGACGTTGAGACCTTCGAGGCGCTGGACTTGACGTTGCAGGTGCCACAGGAGCTGGTTCTGCACCTGCCCACCATCGCTGCCAAAGGCGTCAAGGTTGAGGTAGCGCCTAGTGCGGTTGCCTCCATGCGGCATGGGGAAGGGGCGTGTGCACAGCGTGAGCACGCGCGGGCTCGTGCGACTGTCCACTCACCATTCTAGGCCCTTGGCCGCCAGCAGGCTGAGGTTGCTTTCACTTGGCCAGTAGGGCTGCCGCCAGACCTAGATGATGATCCCACCCGGAAGCACGTCGCGCTGCACGGAGGGCAACAGCAAGAGGTGTGCCACGTCGCCGCCTGCCTCGGACACAGCCTCGATGGGCAGCGGCCAGAAGGTGCCGCAGGTCCAATGCGCTGCCAACCGCGCGCCCAGCTGGGCCAGTAACGCGGACGCATTGAATCGAACCAAAACTATGCCCTGCTGGGGGCGCGAGTGAACGCGGGGCGAGGGCAGGAGGGTCGAAGAACCTGGTTCCTCTCCGCATTTCCCCACACATTCACACCCATGTATTCCTACCCGCGCCCTTGGGAGGACTGACAGTGCGGGGCCGAGTCAAGTGGGTTATGAAAAAGCCTGGGTTCGAGTAGCAGGCAGGCAACAAGAGCAAGGGCTCCGAATATCCGAATCCCCAAGAAAAGTTGGGATCAGTGTGGAGTTGCCAGGGAACCCCAGGTTTGGGTCTCTGGGGGAATGGAAGCCAGGGAGACCGATTAGTTGGCAAGCTGAGGGAGGACAATGGCTCAGATTAGGATGCTTGGGCCCCTGAAGAAGGGCAGGATGTTAGGAGAGACAGGCTCACAGAACTTGGGGAGTAGGAGACTGAGTGAGTTTCAGGCCGGGAGTCGGGGTGTAACTTTCCTTGGGCAAAAGGATATGAGTCAGGACTGGGAGTACCAGGGGAAGGCTCTTGGGCCGCTCCACTTCTCCACTTAGTAGAGCCTGGAGAGAGAGACCAAGCCAATGCTTGGCTGGGCGTAGGGAGGGATGTCCCCATACTCCAGCGGAGAGGCCCAACCTTCCCAGCTCCCTTATCCTTCTCACCTGTTTGGTGATTAGGCGGTATTTCTTCAGCTCCTGGGGGCCCAGCTGGTCGTTCCGGGGAGCGGTGCCACCTTGACCCCGGGGGGCACTGTTGCTTGGCCAGCTGTGAGCAGAAGCGCTGCAGCAGTCCAACCACTCCCTTGCAGTGTTCCCAGGGGGCCATGCGCAGTCCCACCACCAGCGCCGTCTGCCTGGTGTCGATCACTTTCACTGACTCCAGAGAGATCTGCGGACCGAGGCCATAAAGGGGCCCACTCGTCACCTCTGCTTCCACCAGAGTGAGCCTCACAATGAGCACTCTATTGTCGCCGCCTGGACTCCAGGCCGGGACTGCGGCGGCCCAGGGTAGTCTCCTTAGCACTTGGGCCTCGTATTCCAGAGTGCGCAGAACAGTCATTTGCCGAGGCCTCTTTCGCCTCTGGAGATCTCCGACTCTGGGTGCACAGAGCTAGGACCGCTCACCACGCCCCCTTCACTTGGCTACACCTCCAGAATATTGCCACGCCCCTGGCACGCTCCTCTTTCTCTTAGTTCCTCGCCCAGCCCGACTCTGCTTTCTTACTGCAGTTGGTGCCAGTCGGAGGTCCCAGTCCCAGCTCTAGCCTACTCCCCACTTCTTATGCTCTTGCCCCCAGAAACTCTTCAAATGGACCCTCATACTTCAAAGCTTCAATTACTTCAGGTCCCCCGCTATCCGCTGTTCTCATGCCACCTACCCCACCCTCACTGACCTAGCCCTTAGATCCGTACTCCTACATTTTGGCTCCAAAGCAGACTATTTCCTCAGCAGCTGTACGATGCCTGGGGAGAGGCCCTCCCCCTCCGCTTCCTAAGATCCACTCACTCAACGGGGCTTCACAACTTGTCAAACCTGGGCCCTGCCCCTAGCTCACCACTCCTCCCTGCACTTGGCCAAAACAACCGCGTTCAGGAACCTGGAGCCAGCTGTGGTAGTGGCTGGGGAGGTAGTCAAGGCCACTGCAGATATCCTCGGAGATGGCCAACACCTCCTAAAACTCCTGTTTTGTGGCCACCACAAAGTCCAATGGCTCTGCCTCTGCCTCAGGCCCTGATCCGGATTGAGGCTTGGCCCTTAAGGACTGGTCCATAGACTTGGTCCCTGTCTCCTGTGGCAGGGTCTGGGCTCTCAGCTCCACACCTCTCTGGTCCTTTTCTGGTTTATCTATGTCTGCAGTGGCTGCACCACAGCCAGTATCCACCTTCATTACCCTGCAGAAAAGAGAGAGTACAACTGGATCAGAAGCCCCTTGTTTCCACATCTGGATCCCTACACACAAGCAGTCCCAACACCCCTTTTTTGCACAAATGCCCTTTCTTTTCTGGTCTCCATGCAGACCCTGAGAGTAGAGGGTCCCCAGCCTCACCCACTTCTGCCAGCTCCCAGATATCCCAACTCTGCCTGCTCTACCCCCACCAGTCACAAACTCAGGAACCCCAGTGAACTCCTCAGAGACTAGCCCCAGATCTCCAGGCCCAGCCAGCAACCAGGGCCCAGACGAGGCACTTGGTGGGGTTAAAAAACTGAGGAACAGCCAAGTGCAGTGGCTCATGCCTGTAATCCCAGCACTCCAGGAGGCTGAGGGGAGTGGATGCCTTGAGCTCACAAGTTGGAAACCAACTTTTGAGTAAGAGTGAGACCCTAATTCCAAAAAAATAAAAATAAAATAGCCAGGCATTGTGGCAGGCACCTAGTACCAGGTACTTGGGAGGCTGAGGCAACAGGATCACTTGAGCCCAAGAGTTTGAGATTGCTGTGAGCTATAACACCACAGCATTCTACTGGGGGCAAGAAGGTGAGACTTTGTCTCCAAAAAAAAAAAAATTGAGGAACACTCCTTCAAGGGCCCCATCACTTCTAAGATCTCTGCAAGGACAACATGTAAAGAAACTTCCATAGTCACCACTTTGTCTATAGGAGGATTCCCCAGGGAAAAGAAGATGATTTGCTACCTTCCACCTCCTTTCCTGCCATTGCAAGGTATCATCCCAGGGCACAGACAGGGACATTTAGATCCCAAATCTCCTCCAGATTGCTGCCCCGATTTCTCCCCAATCTCCTGACATGCATATGCTAATATAAGCAAAGATAGATGGCTCCATTAGAAAATGTCAAGCTATTCCTCCCAGGCCAATGAAAACATCCTTTCCTTCCTCCTGTTCTAATTTATTCCCTGCCTTCCCCATAGGGACACTTGGGCTCCACTCCAAGACTAGGTGATAATTTTGAAAGGGCTCTATTGGACCTCTAGCAAACTCAAAGAGAAAATCCCCTATCCAAGTCCTGAAGCCCTTGATTTCCAGATGTGTCTCCTCCAGACCAACAAAATGAACCAATCAAATCCCCACTCCTCTTTCTTTCAGTCAATTATAATGCTCACCTCAGATAACCTATATTAAGCCTCATTAACCAACATCCTAGGTGCACACAGACCAACTACCTTGGGATACTGGGGCTTGGCTGAAGTGTTTTCTTGTCTGATCATTTTGTTTTGTTTTGTTTTACAAATATATGACTTAGGTTTGGGAAAGGTTGACCAGCAGTGGGACCAAGGGGTAGTTTGGACATGGTTTCAGCTTCCATACATAAACACAGCTTACATAAATAGCTTACATACCTGCTATACAAACAAAGCTCCAAAACAAGAGTTCCATCTCCCTTTTTCTTTTCTGATTTTTTCTGATTCCAACATCTAAGGCTCTCCCAGTTAAATCCAGGTGAGATACAATACCAAGGATGAGAGAAGGGGGAGAATCCAGGCTCTGTTGGATTTTAAGCCCCTGCTGGGCCCATTAGAGACTATCAAGTTCAACCCTCTCCTTTCACAGTAAGGAAACAGACTTTTGGAGGTTAAGGCTGTTGTCCAAGGTGACTCAGCTTAGACAAAACCTGGCTAATAGTTGTTTCCTGGCTCCTCGGTCAGTGAGAAAGTACTCTTTTTTGGTGTAAGTAGGTCTCCAAATCCAGTGTATAGAGCAAGGAGGAGACTTACTTAATAGGAGTCAAACATCTCAGGTGGGCTAAGCTGATGCAGGACCAGAGATGAGATTGCTAGGGGAACCCTAACTGCTCAGCCTGCAACTGTCTGTGAGCTTTACACTGATACACAGACCCAACCATCACTCCAGCCCAAGTGCCAGACCCCTTGCATCAGGTTCGGTTCAGAGGAGGAGGAGTCCCAGAAATGAGCAGATTAGCTCTTGACTCCCATCTGCATTTCCAGGGGACCTGAATCAGCTGCTCCTGGGTCCTACGAAAACACAAGTTTGGTGACTCTAGCAATCTCTACTACCCCTAAAAGAGATGGACGACGTGTGGGCAACCTGTAGACTAGTACCAATCTGACTAATTCAAGCCATTAAACTCCAGTTTCCCTCCTTTGCTTTTGGGATGGGGGTACTATTTCCAAATAGCATTTCTACATCTCAGATAAGGTTGTTTATGATTGGGAGATGGGGACGAGGGGTAAGGGTTGGGGATTCCTAGGGTTACAGGAGGAAAGGAAGGATTTTCCAACTCATCCTGCATCTTTTCTTCTCAAGCACTCCCTCTTATTCTGTTCCTTTGGGGGGGACATAAACAAAGTTTCCAAGGTCCTTAAGCCCTGGGGGAAGTAAGTACTGGGAATAAAGTAGGTTAGGCATTCCAGACCAACCAAGGCTGTGGACTGGAGCCCAACCCTCGTCCACATTCAACCATTTCCCACCCTCCAGTACAGTGCCACTTCTTTTTCTGCTCTGGGTTCTTCAAACTATAACTCCCATAAGGTGTCTAGGCAGAGGCAGAGGCAGCCCCCAGCCTCTAGGGCACTGTGGGAAATGTAGTTCAGGCATCTCCTGCACCAAGCTCCAGCAAGAGGGTCAGCATTTGCCACCCAATCCCTAGCCCCACATCCTTAGTTTGGGGCCATTCTTTTATTCTCATAAATATGAATGACTACTCTGAGGAGGGGGTGATCAGAGTCATAGCTGGGCATGCTGGCAGCGCGTCACCTCCCACCTCACTCCCACCGCACCCCACACACCTGAAATACTGACGCCCCTGAAGCGAAGGCTTCTTGGAACCGGAGGAGGCAGTAAAGTGAGGAGGGAGGAAAGGGAGGAGAGGGAGGCAAGGGAGCAGGGACGTGGAGAGGCGGAGACAAAGAAGGCAGCTACACAAAGCGTCCAAAGATGAGAGCGAAAGGGACAGAAACGGAGGCGGAATGGAGACAAAGGCGACAGGGAGATGCAGTCCGCGAGAGATGAGGGGAGCGGACTGAGGTACCGACACTGAATCACAGACATGACACCTCGTGACTCTGGGTCCAGCAGAAGCCAAAAAAATTCTAGCACAAAACCCCTCCCCAGGGGGGCCACAAATAGAAAGCAGCACGACACACCCCCTTCTGCGGGGTGGGGCGGGGGAAGGGTCATACGGAGGAGAAAGTCAGAAGAGAGGCTGGAAGAGAACACCTAGAAAACAGATGGGGAGTCGAGACCAAGAAGAAGGCTCTGGGAGCAGAGGCAGGGGCCAAGGAAGATGGCCCAGGGAACCAGGGAGGCAGAGGGTCACACTGTGAAGGCAGGGAGCTTTACTGGAGGGTCTTCCCCAGGCGAGGGTCTTTCTTCCGCCCCATTCCTGGAATGAAGGTGTAGGGGCAGCCAGCAGGAGGGAGATTCTGAAGGGAGCTGTGTACTTGGCTAGGGTGTCCCTGGGCACCGGACTTTAGGGAGAGATGCGAAATGGGGTGACAGGAAGGCGTCTCTGGACACCTAGGGAGAAGTCTCAGTCTCAGTTATATAGGTCACGCGAACGGAAGAGGTCAGGCAGCAGGGGGCGCAGTCGCTCTCCGCCCCCGGGGGTCGGGGGTACAGTGACCTCCTGCTGCACCCGTTCTGCCGCTGAAGAGCACACTGGCTCCTACCCCTACCTTGCAGGAGCCTGACCCAGGCCAAGATGCTGAGAGGTGGAGGGGGCAGGCCATCGCAGACCTCGAACCCTGCCAAGATAGGGGTCCCTTTAGAGCCACGAGAGTCAAAGGAGGATGACGCTCTGGGCCCGCGAGAGTCGTCGGGTCGGGATATGGACTTCGAACGCCAGCTTGGGCCCTGCGCCGCAGCTCGGTTCTCAACGTGGGCTCAGACGCCCAGCTGACTCCGGGGCCACCAGCGCCTGCGGTGACTCTCCAGCACGGCCCCAGCAGCTGCTCCGAGGGGCGGAGACCCCAGCGACGCGGGGGAAACCCGGGACGGATCTGGAGTGGACTCGAGTCCAACTGGGGGCTTGCCAGGACAAGGAGTTGAGGTGATGCCCCGGGCCGGCCCTGCCCTGGTGGCGCTGTCCTGGTCTCGAGTCCTGCGAGCGAGACTCCGCCTTGTCCCGGCTGGGGAGCAGGACTAGGGGTGAGGGTGTCTTGGGTTTTGGTGGAGGGAGGAATGTTGCTGCCTTAGCTATAACCTCACCCTCCCCAGCACCTGTCTTCTCAGCCCGGGACTCGTCCACCGCCCCGGAAGTCCCTCTTCCCCAGGGAACACTCTCTGAATGGGATTCCCTCTCTCTGACTCTGACTTTAAGATAAGCAAGATGAGTTGGAAATGGGACTAGGAGACTTATTCCCTAAGGACCGAGTCTGAGAAACTGACAGGAAATTGGAAACCCGAGAAGTCTGGGGATGGGAAGAGACGGGAAGAGACAGAGGCTGAGAGGCTGAAAGGAGTAGGGCTAAGATATCTCAGTCTTACCACCACTGCGTGGGGTTCCCGGGCAGTCTAGTCTCCCTGACAGCCAGCATGCAGTTGTCTGCTCTTACGTCCCTGGCTCTGAGGTAGCAAGGTCCCTGCAGGACAGCAGGTGGGAAGAAAGACGTGCAGGTCAGCCTTGTACACTTGATCACATGCACACAGGAGCCTCTGCATCCCTGATAATCCAAGTGGATAGGATAAAGAAGCATGGACCTGGGACCCTAGTGTGTGTGCAATGGAATTCCAGCCCTGGGTTGGTCAAAAAGTTGAGAAGTCATTCAATCTCTTTTCTATAGGACCTCCCCTACATCTCTTGATTTCTGAAAGTGCTAACACTCTGCGCATTTCACAAAACTGCAAATAGAGTGGTATACGTTTTATTGCAGGAAAGCACTTCAAAAAGCACTTGAAATCTTCTGATTTCAAGGAAAAACTCGCTAGTGGCCAAAGGAAGAGGCAATCATTTTCTAATCCTGCCTCTTTC